AATTTTTAAAAAATGAATCTTCAACGATCATAATTCTTTTGTTTTTATTTTTAAGAAATTAAACCTTACTTTGTTTTTTCGTTCAGAATTCGGTAATTATTCAGTTTAACTTTATTATTTACGTGAAATTAAAATGATAAAAAATAGTGTTTTTTTTTGTTTAATTTATTTAGTACTTTGTTTTAAGCATACAAATAATTTTTAACGAACTTATTTTTTAAATTTTCTTTCTATATTGTTAAGTAAATATATTGATAAACTTCAATTTTATTTATTTTTTTATTATTTATCTTTAAACTAGGAAATCTTTCGTAATTTGCGGAATCATTTTTAGAAAATATAACAGTAATATCTTTCTTAAGCAAAACATATACATTAAATTCATAAATTGATTTAAATCAATCTGAGTATAAAGTTTTGATAGCAATCCAAATTTATTAACAGGTCAAATTTTGAAAACATTTTTGATTAATCCATAAGGACTATTTATTCCAACCTAAACATGAATAAATTGAAAAAAAAGGGCATATTTATTCTAAAAAGTACATTTTTGTCCAGGTTATTAATTAATGTTTGACAATAAATTAAAATTATTTCTTTTCTTAGAAAGAGTACTCTTTAGACAATCAAAATTACAAATCAATACAAAAAAATTCTTTATTTCTGTACTTCATATTAATAAAACTGTAAAAACATATTTAAACCAAATTAAATCATTACTAGAGTAAGTAAAAAAGAATTACCTTGAATTCCTTTCGTAATGTAAGGAAAAGCTCATAAACTTTGCAACCATCTTCAATGTGTCTGCAGTTTACTACAAAAGGAGTTGAAATTGTATATATGCAATAATACACATTATAAATAATATTCATTATTATTAAAAATGAAAGATTAAAGAATGGAATAGAAATTGAAGAACTAAAATTAAAAACTATAAGATAAAAGACTATTTCAATATTTCAGCTCATTGAGAGTTTGTCTCTCCATGAAGCTAAAAAGAACTTAATTTTTTGACAATTCAAATGAAATCAACCAATTCAAATTTTAAAATAAATCTTAGTAAAAATCATGACACATTAAATCTCAAAACTTATAAAAACTAATTTATAGGAGGAATCAAAGCACATGCATAGAAGCAAAACAATAAATAATTGTTCACTCTGATTCAGTTTATCTTTACTTAACCCATTCTGGGCCAAGCAAAGAAATTTTATAAAATGTGATATTTTTATTGAAATTGGCCTAAACTACATTCATTAAGACACAAAAAAAGTTTTGTGCATGAAAAAAATATTTTACTTAAGAATAAAAATGGTGCATAAATGCATACCTGGTCAAATCAATGGACAAACCATTTTGTTAAACGCTAAGTGCTTTTATAAAATTTGTATTATTTTTATTCTATTTACAAAGTTTGCAACATTAATATAAAAACACAAGATTATAAAAGCACATGATTATAAAAATACATAATTATAAAAACACATGATTAATCTCAAATTGAATAAGTTTCCTTTTTTAAAAATCTTGATTCATGAAATTAAAAACCAGTGTAGTTTAATAATTTCTCAACAGAAAATGTTAGATGTATTCAATGTCTTCATAACCCTTGACAATAGCAGGAAAATTAAATAAGCAAAAATTATACCTCACAAAATAAAAAGTATTTATTTTTAAATTATTAATAAAAAGTATTTATTGCATTTATACACTTTTGGACACAAATCGGTTGAATATAAATGCACATATTAATTTACTATCGATGTACAGTTTATATTTATATACAAATGTGGTCACATATTTCAATTTTGTATAATTTTTTGAATCGCAATTGTCAAAATATACATTTATAAGCCATTAGGTGACATATTCAGAAAATATTTAACAGATTCATGTTTTAAAACTAAGTACAAGCTAATCCAGAATTACTTGCAAAAAACCTGTTTTAGGAGTTATGTAAAATATAGTTTGGAATTTTGTGAAAATTAGTTTTGTCAAAAACTTAAGTCTTATTACATAATTTATTTAATGAAAATACATTTATATAATAAATTATCCTAATTTAGAGATAAGAATTTGATTGAGGGAGCCTAATGAGATCCATATTAGTGATTTCTATAATTATTTAGAATCAAAATCTTAAAAATGAAACTATTTATTACATTTTCAGCAAAGTTCAATGAAGCCTGATAAAGGATAAAAATAATAACAAAACTGTAAACAAAATATTTCAAACCAAAAATACTTGTTGTACTTTCTAAAAAATACTTTACCTAATTTATTTTTTACCAAGTAAACTCTTAATGGCATTTAAATATTAATTAATTTTTTTGCATGTTTCATTTTGATAAAAATTAAATAGAAAAGCATTTGATAGAAATTTAAAGGACATAGTTTTTGCACATAAAATATGAAGAGGAAGTTGTGATAATTAGAGAAAGATCATTCCGTTTCGAAACATTAAAAATTAAGGAACTTGGTGCAAGAAAAAGGTAAATGCAATTTCACAAATTGATGAGAGCTGAATGGAATTAAAAATGCATATAGGTTTATGCAAATTTTCCAACAATACTCATTACAGGAAAGGATTGGTAATATATCTGTAACTGATTCTTGCGTTAAGCAAAACAGCCGTATTCTTCACAGTCTAAAATGCATCAACAATATTTTAGGAATTTTAGAGTTACCCGATTCTCTTAACAAGGTCCTAAACTGTAAAATAGGCATTGTAATTTATTTCTAAAAAACTGATTGACAAAAGTCTACTTTTCACATCATAATATTAAGCTAGAAAAGGAATCAATAAAAAATATTAATATCTGCTTTGATGCCTATTGTGTTATCGAACAAAAAAAATTGCTCATGTAAATAAATATTACAAATATCATGTCACATATAAGTAGGATTCACATCAGGAATAAAAATGTAGCATTCCAATCAGACCACCTAGGTATTCATTTAACGGTCCAAAAATTTATTATGGTAAACGAACTTGAGGGGGGAAATCGAACTTTACAAATACATAATTCATATATTATGGTACACATCAAAAATTATTATTTGCTATCTATAACTCTAAAACTAATTAGGTTCATTAGTCCATAATGATTGAAGATTAGTATTTATTAAAATTAAGTGTCAAAGAAGCTAAAATAATGTTAGTAAATAGAAGATAGAGATTAAAATACTGAGGCCAAATAAATAAATGAGGAAAACAGAGAACTAATAAAATATCTTAAAAATTAATTATCTAAAAATTATAATATTTCAAATAAGGTCAATTCTAAAAGAAAAATACATATATTACATTGATGTCAGTATATGAATGCAAAGCATAGCATTACATGTCAATTTCAAATTTTTTGCAATAAATACTTTCTTTTATCTATTTGAATACCACACATTTGAAATCCATACGACGCGCAAAACAATGAAATTGATTTCATTCAAATACTATTTTTCGTCATTATTTTGTAAATTTCAAACCAGGGTTGGCAGGTTTTTGACATGTGACAGTTTTTGACAGTTTAAACCATGGTTTAAACCGTCACGTCAAAAACCTCACTGTCAAAAATGTCGAAAATGTCAAAAACCTATATTCATATATAAAATTTAATTAATACATAAAATTTATATAAAGGATAGTGTTTCTAAATATGTTCTAGAAAAAATAAATTTAAAATTTTGAAGAAACACTTATATTTTGAATAGTAACCAAAATCTTGTACTTTTGAAAGCTCACATCTTTTGTAATATTATGTATTCATTTTCATGTGTTATTGAAAATCTGCAGTGATATTATTAAGAAATTTATTTATAACCAAATTTAGTGTATAGTATAGATTATACTAAAAATTAGACATTTTTAAAGATAAACATTAGCAGTTTTGTACATTAGACATCTTTTAAAGAAAAATCTTTTTAATATTCTTTTAAATCTTCTTAATAATCTTTTTAACATAAGACAATACAAATTTAAGTGCTTTCTGTTAAATACACAGAGTAGTTAGTGTCGATTTACAGTATATTCAGCCTATTCATTTACTATGCTGAAAATTTAGTTTATCCAAATACTTGTGAATTTCATTTTGCTGAATACTATATAGTTTTGTTGAATATCTAAATATTCAGCTGTTGAATAATTACTTCTTGCTTTCAAGATATGCATTATTTGTATTCTTAATACAAGTGGGGGAAAAAAATTAAGAGGTAAAAATTGTTTTAAAATGATAAGTGTAATAATTATAAATAAATATAATAAACAATATGAATTATATTTATCATTATTCACAAATATAACTACTTTTAAATTCAAATTAACATACTGGATAATAAAGATATTCGGTATAACATTAAAATTTTTTTTCATACACTTGTATCAAGTTTGTATTTATACAACATAACTTGTAAGTTCCTTATAAATATTAGTTATATGTTCCTTATATGTCAAAAATGCATAGTAATAAACTTTTAATTTTCTTAAGTATCAAAAAAAAAATTTTTTTTTTCAAAATATAAATATTTAAAAAATTTTGTGCAAAATTTTTCTGCATATGCATTTGAATATAAATTTCTGAGATTTTAAATCTGTTATTTTACCTTAATTTTAATTAAAAAAATATTTTAAAACCTGCTGATTACCTATAGTATAATTAAATTTCAATATAATGCATGGCAACTGTTGGTAGTTTTGAAGTTTATATATTTTTTTGGCAAACTTTAGTTTTTGACATTTTTGACGGGTTTTTGACGGTTTAAACCAGTATTATACCCTTGTCATGTCAAAAACCACTTTTTGACGTCAAAAACCCAACCCTGTTTCAAACATATTTCAAGGCAACAAATTTGTCTTTCATGCTAATGATTTTAGCAACATTTGAAGAAAATACTGGCATGAACCCAACATATAAATATCATGTTGCTTAATATTTCTATGTTGAAAAAGCGTTTTGTCACTAAAAGATTGAAAAACATTCTTTTGAGAGAAATCGTTCGGGAAACATCATTTTGGGAAAAGATTATTTCGGAAGTCAAAATATGGATTTTTATGTTTAACAGTCAAATATCTATCAAAATGTTAAAGAACTTATTTTTTAAATAAACTAATACTAAATACTTATTCTACTTTGCAGTATCCTTTGAAACATGCAAATTACAAGGTTATCAGCCATTGGAAAAGGGAAAATACAATTGGAGTTGTTATAGAAATTCAATTAATTTTTTTTGGCAAAATTATTTCAAAAATACAAAAATAACTAATTTCTACAATCAGCATTTTTTGAAATGTAGTTAAGAATTACACATTAGTCTGCTATTTTTAGGTTTTTGATGTTTTTTCCATAACTAAACATTTTTATCAGCATCAAAATGTTTATGTACATTTAAACAACAGTAAAATAATAATAATAAAAACAAAACAGAATATAAATAACTTACTTAACTTAATATAATTTATAAATAATTTACTTAACTTAAAATACTTACTCAAATTAATAACAGAAAAATTCCATTGTTTTACATTAAAAAAGAAACCATAAGTTCTAAAAACTACTAAGCACTATGTTTCCTAAACTAATAATGCAATGACTTTATCATCCACTTTCTTTTAAAAGTTTAGGACTGTCAAATGATACACTGTCATCAAAAGTTTTTAAAGAACAAATAAAAATATTGAATAAATGAAAATCAAAAAATGAAATATTAAAGATTGAAAAGGAAAATAGTAGCCAATACATATTGTAAAATTATTTGAATCAAGAGAAACAAAGAACTTTTTCTTATCTTACCAGAATTGTTTTTAAAATAAGCAATAATAAATTTAAATGTTAATTCCAGATCACTATTAGCATGAGTTCCTTTTCTAATCCTTTGAAAGCAAACACCTTTATCATCTTGTTCCTCATCTTCACTACAATATTCCTCAAAGCGGAAAAGCTTACTCTCATATTCCTTGAATTTTCTGTCTACTTGACACAACTGACAACTAATGTAAAAAATAAACAAATTCAATGTAGTGATGATTAAATTATTACAATATTTAAAGGCAATCTAATATAAATTGAGAGTATATTTTTCTGTAATGAAAATATTACATTTTTCTCCTTTCAACATTCTTTTCTGGTCTTAAATGGCAATCTCTGCATGGTGCAAAATCTTCTGAAACAGGAGGAGTGCAAACCTTTTTTAAAGAAGTAATTAACTCTTTATGAACATCTAAAAGGTAATCCAATGCTGTTACAATGCAGTATTGCAGACCAAGAGGGTTTGAAAACCTAAAAAAAGTCACATATTTCAAATTTCAAAATCATGAAGTTAATAAAAAAATTTGAATCTTATAAAAAAGACATTAAACAGAAATTTTTAAAAAATTTATCCTTAATCAATTTATTCTCATAGGTATATTTGTAGGAAAGTTACGATGTCTAAATATGAAAAATTATATTTTTATGTTTATTTTTAAAAAAATACAGATTCTCAGTAAACTTAAAAGTAGAGAATCTTTACGAGAAAATGCAATATTTTTCATTTGATTCAATTCAAACTATAACTATTTATACAAATAAAAAATTTAAGTTTTAAAAATATTATAAAAAAAAACACATGTTTTGTATTTTTTAAAAGACCATTAGGTTTAAACCAACCAACCCTGGTTGATAAAAATCTAAAATATAACAATCCCAAACTTATATTCTTCGGAAGATAAATAATAGATATAAACACTATATTACATGCGTAAAACAAAAATAATTGTTAAGACCCTTATTTTCATGTACTGTATTCTTTGAAAGTTTTATCACATATTGCTGCAATATGTGATAAAATTTATAGCCATAATTTATAGCCTTGAAATATTTTATTTCAAGAAATATCTAAGAGATACAAATTTGTAAATTGGAAATATAACTTTTTATCATTTTCAAATTTGTTAAAAAATACTATACCTAATAAATTTGCATAATAATTCTTTATACATTGCGTTTAATTTTTTGTTACCTAACCTAAAAATAATCAGTGAATTCTAAAACTAATTAGTTAACAATTGAAGATGTAATGTTGCATTACAGTAAATAAATTAAAAAATTTAAAAATAAAAATCAGCTGTTTTTGTGAATATAGAATTCGATAATGCAAGAGCTAAAAGCCAAAATATTGCAATCTATGTTTAATTTATCACTACACGAAAACTGTTAATTTTAAAAAAATACCTTTCATGACTTTTAATAATTTTATGTAAAAAACTTACCAAATTTTAAAGCGCGTAACACCACTGAAAGGAATATTTTTAACACTTATACCTAAAACAGTGAAGTGGGTCTGAGTGACCCGTAACTAAATTTGATACATGAATTATGAAGAAGGAATCCTTTTTTTTTTTTGTAGAAACAATGTTAAAATCATAAGGCATGTCTGCCTCACCCCCTGAAATCTTCCAAAGGTCCGAAGCGGTGGTCGGGAGAAAACTGAAGGTTTTCAATCAAGGTCATTATGAGTATCTATGTTGACATGTGAAGACCATTAAGAGTTCAGATTGAAATATTTTCAGACTATTGGAAGTTTTTTCTCGTTTTTATTGCAAGTATGTCATGACGTTACGGCTCAGGAAGTTCTGGAATATTTTCAACAATTACCTGAAAATGATTCAGAAGGTGACAATGATTTATAAAACAAGTGAATAAGAGGGGTTTTTTCAAAAATATTTTTTTAATTTTTTTTTGTAAAAATATATAACTTTATAGTAAAAAATATATTAACTAATTTAACTGGATAACTGTTTTTTCCATTAAAATATAATAGAAAAAAACAGATATTTCTATTAAACAGACATCATATATTTCCATTAAAATATACAATATTATATATTATTATATAAAAAGGTATATTTCAGTTTTCTTAATTAAATGATTACCTATATAGGTTTACTATCTAAGGTCAAAATGATTGTGGTTCTAGGTATATTTTAAGTCCCGCGGTTCTAGAGATAAAGAAGGTAACCCCTGAGAAAGTAAAAATTAATTTTAATATGAATCTGATATACTGATTAAACTACCTGAATTGTGTAAAATAAAAGTGAATAAAAATTTCAAAAGATTGAACCATTGCCGTCAAACAGCATGTTAGGAAATTTTTAGTTTAACCGCTTCCCTGATTATCCAGATTTTACTGGGGTATGCATTTATTGCAAATATTCATTATCACGAGAAAACTCGGGCATAGCAGAATTTGTCAATACATTTTGTTTTGTCACGTTTTTACTTAGGAGGAAGCAAATAAAAATAATCTACTGTGATTGAAGTTAGCCATGTTTTGCTATCGGATTGTGGGACAACACACTTGTTTTGTGCGATTGTATAGGATGGTTGCTGAATTTACATAGAAAAAAAGAATTTAAAAAATGACGCATCACTTTACTGGCATTTGGAAAGTGTCACTTTGTATTGTCCCTTGTTTTGAAATCTATCACACAAAGACTAATATTTAACTTATTTATTTTGTCTGAGATAACTTGGGATAGTAAACTGATGGTAAATTAAATGTTTTTTACGCATAAAAAAGTTCAAATTTCAACTTGAAAGTTGTGTATTATGTTTTGTTTTAGTTCCTTGTATTTATCAATGAATAAAAATATATATGTTGATTTTTTGCATTTTTTTCTCAAAAAAATTAGTAAGGGAAGCGGTTAACATCACATTAGCAACTGCAACTACAGAAATTTCTTCTAAGTGCGGAAATATAAAACTTCATTTTGTTTAAAGAATGATTGCTAAAATAGAGTAAATGTTTTCTGTCAGAAGGGCTCAAAAAATAGAGGACACATAATAAAAATTGATTTAAGAATAACTGTCATAAAAACTCAATTACCTGTAAACAATAGAGTTGTGCACAGAATTTCCTATAACATCACTTAAAAAGATTTTCAAATTTCTGATAAAAGTTGATTGTTCCTCTTCTCCTTTTAACGTTTTAACCAAATTCCACCACCAATCAAATTTGCATTGTGATTCTATCTTATTTACTTTTTTTACATAGTCAGTAAAATGTTGAAAAGCTTTTTGGGCACTAAATCTATATTTTTCCAAATATGAATTTACAAGTTCATCACATTTCACTTCATAGACATTTATGGCTTCATGGAAGGTGCCATCATTTGAGTCTTCATCAAGACAAATAGGGCCTTGTTTAATTAATTTTGAATAATTATATAGAATATGAATTTGTTGCAACTTATCAGTTTTTATATTTGTTTTGTTGTCCTCAATTGACTGGAGAGCCTTCGTATAAGCATTAGAAGCTTCTTCAAAATTCTTTTGAATCGAATTTAGACCAGCAACACCTGTAAACATTTTCAATACAAATAAAAAAAGGAAATATAAAAGATTAGTTTCTAAATAAATATGTTATTAATTCACATTAATTATATCTAATTTTAAAGAGATAAGTTAAATGTAAGACTTAACATCACTAGAGCTCAAATCAGCACTACATGTACCATGTTATATATTCCAGGTACAGGGTTCCCACTCAATTTTTAAAAAAAAATTCAAAGACTTTCAAGGACCTAAAATCAAATTTTTCAAAGACCTATTCAGCATTATTATTATATGCTAAAGTACATGTCAACCAGATTTTACAATTACATAGAAGCAGAAATTGTATATTTTTAAATCACAATGATTAGTTGACAAGAAAAAAAATTATTTATTGTGTTCAGGGATGAGATTAGCCAAAAGGCAAAA